CTCAAGCCGTAGATTTCAAAATAATTAAACTAATAATGATTTAAGGAAAAAAAATAATAAAGTCACTTATAAAAAGAACTTTACAAATTATACATGAAGAACACTTAAGTGTTGAAAAATGCAAAGGATTGTTGCGCTAAAAATTATACTTGGTTACTATGAATACCGACATCAAAATGCAAATTTAAATGTCGTGGATGCCAAGCGAATTTGCATATGCCAAACTCTAAAACAATTAAAAATTGAGTTAACTATAACATGCTACGGATGAATTTATGATAGAAGATACATCTTCCGTTTACCCATTACATATTAAAAAAAGGTAGAAACTACCATGAAGAAATTCAAGGATGCTTCAAAATTGGTCACGTTTTTGTTCAATATAAACATTAAAAATAAGCTTCCTTAAATAAGAGTTGAAAAATCGCTAAAAAAAAAGATAAAAACTATTCAAAAGTAAAAAATATTTTAATGAGAAACATCATGCAAAGAGAAATATCGTGTATATAAAGAGAATGAAAAATAAGAGAAACGCGTGTCACGCAAAGCGTAAAACGCAGTGAAGAAAGATTATAATAATATACAATAATGTTATATTCTTGCCATAACATGGAGTAAACGCTAGATTGAAATTATCAAAACAAGAAACACAAAGTTAAAGAATGGAAGCAAGATATTGTTATAGGTGAAGAAAAAAATGAGTTGGTGTATAATGTACAGTTTACAGCAAAACTCTTAAAATCTGAAATCTAATATATACTACGTAAAACATTAATTTATATTAATGAGAGAACAAAAGCGATAGATAATCGTATCCCACGAGAAATCATAAATAAAAGTAAAATTAAATGTGAAATATTAAATGTGAAAATTTATTATTCTGACAATAAAGTCTTTCCAAACAGGGCAAGCTGTTTAGTGTTATATTACGCAATGTAATAATAATCGTTATACTTGAGTGCGTTCATATCGAACAATAAAAACGTGTAAACAATATTTTTAAATCATAAAGAGATTTTTGCTTATTAAATAATGTTATAGTATATATAGGAAAAAGTAATAGTAAAAAAATAATTGAAACAAATGTAATTTGCCTGTTTGTATTGTTATTTAGTCATTAAACACACTGATATTTGATAGGGTTCGTGAAAGGCACCACACATAAAAGGTTTCTGAAAGACGCAAAATACCTTTGAACCGATAATCTTAATTGAATTAGTGTTTTTCAAAAGGGCTGATTTGACATTTTTTGGCAAAATCTATTTTTTCAATGATTAGTGTTTTTTGATAATATCTTCATCAGTTTCTTTTAAAAGATTCTTCGAATACCATCTTCTTAAAGTAAAGCAAGCTGATAACTTTTGCTGGCGAACTTGCTTCAAATGAGCCCTTTTAAAAAAAAATACTTTTCTCCGTGGCTTAAAATCAAATATTTGCCACAGTTATTACTGTCAAGTTTTGCATTATAGTTGTTTTTTACATATGTAAGTAAAATAGAAGAATCGAACAAAACTTTTGATATTAAAAGAAAATAATTATTTTCTTATAATAACAAACGATTTGTTAATGCTCAATTCTTCCATTTTACTTACATTTATTGATGTGTTTTGTTAATATTCTCGACAACTTAGTTTTATTTTTACTGACCAATTTTTTATAAATTGTGCAATGATTATTTAAATAAAGATTTGCTCTGCAGAAATAATTGGCTTTATACAATTGGTCCTAAAACATTTTTTGCCAAGCTCGAGATCAAATATGAAAAACACGGGAGAACCTTCTCTTGACTTGAGAAACGCAAGAAAGAAAGACTGACTTTAGAACTGTACCCAAGACCCTCTCCTTATAAATCAAGACCAGGAAGACCAGCTACACCATCGACTTATAGTTCGGAGACAACAAAAAAAGAGAAAAGTATCCAGGTATATTAAAATCTATATGCTACATTTTTGGTTGTTAATTTTATATAAGTTTTACATTTTTCTAAAGATATAAAATATTTTTTTACTTTGATTGGTGACCATTGAAACACCAAAGAATCTGCCTGCGCTGCTGTGTTGAGGGCTAAATCAAGCCCAGGAAAGGCAGACTTTTCAAAAGTTATTAAACATTCTGTCAAAAAATCCAACTCTAGCCAGGAAAATTATTTAAAATACAAAAATAAATCCAAAAATGATGAAAGCAGAAGAAGCATTATAGATAAATTGTAATCTCAGTGGTTTGCAATATCAAGTTCTTAGAAGCTCTTTATTAAAGCAGAATGCAGAGATATACCCTTCAGTCAAAGTAATATTTGATGTAATATCCAAAAGTTTTCCAGAAAATTTGAAAATCTGTGTTATGTTTAGTCAATGTTGAACTTTATCAAGAATTATATTAAAAATTATAAACATATCACAGAATGTCTAGATGGATCGGAAACTATCTACACTGCATTGTTGGATACGAATTTTTGAATTCATTCTTCACTTGGGATATAAAATGGATACTAAAAGATACCAGTTCCGATCTCCAGAAGATGAATTATTTGTAAAACCTTAAAAAAAAGAAATCAAAAGAAAGTTTAGAGAGGAGTTAAGCTTAGTGGTTGATACTCCTAAGCAGGGATTTGGAAATACTAATACAGGAAACACTGCAAGGAGGGCAATTCTTACTCTGAAATAACAGAAGTTAGTTTGGACATCATTTTAAGACTAAGAGACATATTGAATGCCGTTTGCAGTGGATTCCACCTGAACTTGGAAGTTTTTAAAGCATAATTTTATAAAACTTCAGAGCTGATAATGGAAACCTATCCCTGGTACATTATGCCACCTACACTTCACAAGGTTTTGGAACATGGATTTTTAATTGCTAAGCATTTGGATCTTCCTATTGGAGCTTGTTTTAAGGAGGCTTAGGAAGCACAAAATAAGGCCAAACGAAATGCAAGACTCAAGCACACATGCAAAATATCTAGAATTAATTTGATGCAGAACCAATTCCATTATTTACTAATAAGGAGCAACCCTGCGATCTCTTTGATTGCTTTCAGGAACCCCAAAACATTTGCTGGTCCTAACCTTGATCCTGACGTACAGGACCTCCTCAGAGGAGATGAATAGTTATTTTTTCTTAATAAATGTTATCTTTTTAAGTTTAAACTTTTTCTTGTGAAAATTCAATTATCAGTAAATATAATCAAGGATTACATATTAATGCTTAAAAAATAAGGTAAATATTTTTTTCACTCAGAAAATATTTTTAGAATGATTGCTAGAATCTAAAAATTAAAAAAAATTACACCAAAAATTCAAGGGGAGAAGGGGAGGAGGGAGGGGGACTAGGGGAGGGGTCTGCAACTTGAAAACTTTTTAATTACCCACTTTCCCAGTGGACACGGGAAAGTAGGTAACTAAAAAAAAAAACGTCTTTTAAACGTCTTATACACGTTTTAGACGTCTTTTGAATGCTTTTTGGACGTCTTTTGAATGTTCAAAAGACGTCTTTTTTTGGTCTGGTGCCCAGTGGATTTTTATGTTTGTTTTTGAATCGGAGCAGTAATTTAATAAAAATGTTTATTACTTTACAAAATTTGGAGTTTTGGTCGCTTTTTCGCTTCACTGTGCGACGTCTAAAATAATAAAAAAAATTTAAACAGGCGGGTGCAGAATTTTTAATATTCAAAATAAGTAACTTTTCGATATAATGAAAAAAATATCGCATAAACTTTTTTATCTTCTTTTTTTTATCTCATATTAAAATCATTTTTTTTTTATCTACTGCAGAAATTAAACAAAACATTTCGCAAATAGTTTAGTATTGCTCAGATTGTTTCAAAATGTTAAACAATAAAAAAAATCACACAATGATAATCGAGGTTTAGTCTGCTTAAGTTGTTTTTCCAAAAAATCAGAAATGAAAAATGTTTAAGATGGAACAGTGAAATTGAACAAAATATATATGTTCTCTTTGAAATCAATTGTTCAAGCAATGAATATTTTCCGAAGGGCATCTGTGCTAAATTTATAAAAGTTTTTAAATGACTTGAGATTTTTTTTTTAATGTTTTTCATTAAATACGATAAAATGTATTAAACTATTTACATAACTCATCCACTTATAAGCGATTAGTACTTACTAAAATCCATTATTTACCTAATCTATTAATTGGTACGTTGTAAATATATATTTTCTTTACCAGCTTTATTTCATAACACTAGATTTACTATAGACACTAGCTTATTTAAATAAAAAAAAAACCAACAAACAAAAAAATAAAAACAGAGAATAAAAAAAACGTTTTAAGTATTATTAAAAATACCCCCTAATATTTAGATAGAAGTTCTAATTAACTGACTTTGAAAAAAGTTAAATAAAGTTCAATAATAATTTGTGGGTCAAATAAAATTCAAAAATAATTCATGCGTTTTATTTTTATTTAAAAACCAGAGGTGGAGGAGTTTGCCATCTCCTCTCGACAGTTATTAAAGCTAATGTTTCAGCAAAAATTATTGAAATAAAAAATTTCTTCCACTTAAATTTGTGCCGAACTCCTAAAAATTTATGCCGAATTCTTAAAACTTTATGTTAAAAATTTGCGGCAATAAAACATACAAAGCTTGTGTTTTAAACACTTCAAACTAATACTCAGCGCTTAAAAAAAAAACACCGTTGTCGCCAGTTTTGCTTCCCAGACGTCTTTATGTACTATGCTGAACTCAACCGGGTCGAGAATGTTATACTCAAAATATTTAAAGTATAATCAACTTAAATTATAAAATACATAAATATTGGTTAATTTTTATTTTAAAAAATCGTAATAAAATAAGTATCTAACAATACAATAATAATTAAAAAAAATTGATTAAATATCATAAATAAAAGATATAAAATCCTCCGTATTTTTTAATTTAACAAATAATTTTTTTGTAGTCTATCGACGTTTTGTTAACGTCTATCGACCATTGTAAAAGTAAATGTAAAGTTTTAAGTTATAGACGTAAAAGATTTTTGATTGGTTAAAATCTTGTCAGCAACATGCGCACAAGTTCTCTGTCTGCGCAGATATCTATTTGCGGCCAAAATTTACATGGGTGTTTTGAGAGACTTCGGTGCCAAAGGATTTTAGTTTCGATGAATTACGGCTATTCTAATTTTTAATTTAAATATGATATATTTTTATTTTTACTGTTTATAATTATTAACAATTGAAGACTATTTTTACAAAATGAGTATTGTTGTTGAACTTTTATGTTATACGACAAGTTACGGTGAGGGGGGTGAAGCTGAAAAGTTTGCTCGAAGAGCTATAGAATCTTTAATAAAAAAACTTCGAAAAAAATCAGATGAATTTGATAGCCTAATAGTGGCCATTAAATCTAAGGGAAGACAACCAACTAAATGTGTAACTATACCTAGAACATTAGATGGAAGGCTTCAAGTCTGTGAAAGAAAAGGGTTTCCTCATGTCATTTATTCCAGATTGTTTCGATGGCCTGACATCCATAAAATGGAACTTAGACACTTAGATAATTGCCAATATGCATTCGATTTAAAATATGATGTAGTTTGTGTGAATCCATATCATTATGATCGCATATCTTCTTCTCCAATACACCAAACTAGTAAGTTATTATTTTTTAAATCCTAGATTAATTTTTGTTTAAATCTACTTTGATTAATTTTTAAAATTATTATATAAATTCTTTTTTTTTACTAATTTAAAAGTAAAATGTTTATATTTTAAAAGCATGATTAAAAATCATTTATATATTTTATTTTCAAACAAAAATTATTGGTAAAAACAGTTTTTTTTAATAGTTTTAGAATCAACTAACATAAATCGCTCTCAACATCAGATCTCCCAACCTCCACCTTTACAATCATATCTTGAAAATAAGCATTCAAGAAGTACATCAGAATCTACAAGTGAATCACAAGTTAATTTGATCTCAACAAACTCAAGAGTTTCACCACCAATGTCACTTGCTCCTTCTTCATTAGTGTATCCAAATAGAACCCCTTGTGCTGCTGACCCATTTCCGATTATATGTCAGTACTTGTTATGTCACTCTGTTACAAGTAATCATGATGAGTCTATTGCACCATCATTTACAAAACGTGCAATAGAGTCACTTGTTAAGAAACTAAAAAAGCGCTATATTGAGCTTGATTCCTTAATATCTGCCATTGTTAGTAATGGAAGGGTAGAAACAAAGTGTGCTACAGTTCAACGAACCTTAGATGGAAGATTACAAGTTGGTGAAAAAAAAGATTTTCCTCATGTTATTTACACAAGGATATGGAGGTGGCCCAACATTCATAAAATTGAGCTTCGAAGTATCAGTACTTGCTTGTATGGCTTCGATTTAAAAGAAGGAAATGTGTGCGTAAACCCTTATCATTATGAGCGAATTAAACCACCAGGTATGATTTTAACTTGGGACTTATTGTTTTATTTATTTTGTCAAATTATTTAATGTATTTTGAAAACTCTTTTAAAAAGTTTTATATTAAATTCTATAATTTTTTTTTTTTTAGAATGGTGTTCTTCTCATGATATATTACAAATATCAGGTTCTGAATTTTTAGTTATTTTTTATTTTATTTTTAACCCTGCATCCCAATCTGATTTATTATTGTAAAGTTTTAGATATAACAAAAAAAGTAAATTTCAAAATAATAAACTATTTCAGACGCTCATACCAATAGAGTTCCTCTTTTTCGAGATAGTTCTATTTATTTTAATCAATTTCAAGAATCGTCATCAAACACAACACATTTTCAAGATCGCGATAAAACGCCTAACTCAACTCATTTTAAAATAAGATCTTATTCGCACAATCAAGACCATAGTAATTCAGATACAAATTCATCTATTGATGAAGCAATGAGCATTGACGAGAATCACTACAGAACTGAAGGGTATGTGTTTTTTTGTTGCTTTTTTTTTCACATACCAATTACCAGATTTGATTTTTATCAATGTTGTATGTGAAAATAAATGTCAATATATTAAATAAAAAGTTACATTATAGTTATAAAATTATATTTATATTTACATAAATATAATATAATTGAAACTCTTTAGTCATGCTATAAGCAGTTTACTTGAGAGAAGGAAAACTCAGACATACTTTCCCCAATTTAGTAATAGGTATCATGGTAAAAATACTCCTGATCTACAAAACAGTTTAAGGTCAGGAAAAGCATATGGTTGTACAAATTGCTTTAAACTCTTATAATAAGAAACAAATAAAAAAATATATAGATAAGAAAATGATATTATAAAAATTTATCCAAATGAGGAAGTGATAAAATAAGTGGCTTTTACTAATGTCATTAACTATCAAAGAACTAGCAATGATTTAGTTACTTGTAATCTTTTAGTAGATAGTATTGATAATATTTAATGATTATTTTTTTATTAATAATCATAGATATTTTATGAAACATATTATTTTTGATAAATTGAAGTTATATCAGATTATAAATAGTTGATTATAAATAATTATATAGTATGTTCATTTATTACTGCATTTTTCAGTTAACATAAAATTATTGCTCCAAACTGGTATAAAAAAATATTGTTTACAGGACAACCAAGTTTTAAGCAGTTAAATAGCTCCAGCTTAAACTAATAATATTTCAGCTTCAAAACTTTTTATTTATAAATCTTGTTTAAATAAGTTTAAATATAATTTAATTTATTTGATAAAAATACAATAATAGTTGCTTTTAAACTTTTTTTCATTTTATATTTAAAGTATTTTCATAATATTTAGGTTTTTATTCATAGGAAGCATCCTTCACTTGAAGTTGATTCTGGTTGCCAAGATGCTTGTTCCTCCAAATACACTATGGATTTGGAGGTAAAGTTATCTCTTTCAATGTGGTTGGTGTTAACTAGTTACCATTTAATATCACCATTATAGATAAATGTTATTTTTAATAAAAAATGTTCTTTTAAATATACAATAGTAGTATTTTTTTTATTGACCTTTGTTAGCATTTTTTTTTATTGTTGTTTATATATTATATATAACTCATTGTTTCAACTACAAATGGTAACTAAGAGATGAAAAGTAATTAATTAAGTGATGAAGAGTAACTAATAGATGAAGGGTAATAGTAATTAAGTGATAAAGGAAATTTTTTAATGCTTATTCTGATTTAGTGTTTAAATCTTTGCATTACGTGAAGACAAAACATTTAGTAATTTGGAGCTTGTATTGCATTTTCTAAATCCTTGCTTGTTTCATTGTTTTAATGCCATATCTTGCTGTACATGAATATAAGTATCTATAGTGTAAAGCATAAACAACAGCTGTGTACTTAATAAGTTTTTCTTTGTAATTATTCATCCTGTTTTTGCACAGATCATCATCAGATGTAAAATATAATTATAAAAAAAAAAAACTTATAAATTTTACATAAAAAGTCAAAGAAGATATTAAAAACAAGCCATAAATATAAAAGTAGCCTATATTATATTTAATTTCGTTTTTTAAAATATTTTTTTAAAATAAAGGCCTCCAACTGTTTGCAAATATTTTATGCCATGGTTGAGAAGTATAAAAGTTTTCTTGGTATGTTCAGGCGTAATTGATTTATATTGATTCTCTCACTTTAGATTCTTCATACGCTGATTTAATTGCAAAAGTTTTTGGGTGTGACCAATCAAACATACCATCACATTCTTGACCATGTTTGGTTGCCACCTTTCATATAGTTTTTGATGATCAAGAGCATATGAGTTAGCAGACACTAGGAGTTTGGATTGGGAACTAGTTTTAACTTAATATTATTATTGCATGAGAAATTTTTTAACTTTAGATGGTGTAGTAAAAATTATTTTAACATAGTAAGGTCTAAGTTCTTTTCTATGCTTTGAACCTACTCTTTGAACCTATTCTTTGAACCTACTCTTTGGAGCCATGAAAGCTTAAGTGTTTATTATTATTGGAAAGGCTTTTACTTTAGCTTCTATGACCAATGAAGAGTTTTACAGGGCTGATTTCAGTATATAAATTTATTATAGTAACAAGAATTTTTTAGCATAATTTATGTTTTAAAAATAAAGCAAGAAAATTTGCAAGGAAAAAATATAGAAGACACTTTTAAAAACCTGGAAAAAATAGAAAATTAAAAGTGACATAAGTTACAATAATTCTTTCAAGGAGCTTATTTATTTACACAAGAATATAATATCAAAAATGCTTAACCACAAAGTAAAATAACTGAATACCAAAATGTGTAATATACAGGAAGAAAATAAAACTTGAAAATTGAAAAATATGAAAATTGGACGGGGATTCAATACCTATTAATTAGAAAGTATAAAAAGAAAAAATATTTACTTAAAAACTATGATTTTTATTCACAGAAATCAAGTTCTTATAATTTACAAAAAAAAACTCACTCATTAGATAATTACAAGCACCCCAAACACCATAAACACCCAAAAATAAGCCTAATATTAAAAAAGTTTAATTTCAAATCTTAGCGGTTCTTTGTGACAAAACCTAATCTTCTTTGAGTTTCCGCATTCTTTAGTTGTTTTTTTATTGATTCATTTGTTTTTATTTTTTATATATTGTATGAAGATAAACAATGAATGTAAAATAAGGAATAAAAAAATTAAAAGAATAAAAAAAGGATAGACTTTATTATCTTTTTGTATGAAAAATAACATTGTCTGAGACTGAGAGTTCCATTTCATGTATATCAAAAGCGTTAGTTTGGTTCATTTTTTAAGGTTATCAATGCCGTTGTTTAAAATATTGGTAGTTATAGGAAATGCTTTGTCTATTTGAATGGAGGGGTATAACGTTATTACATCAAAGTAATTACAAAAAAGAGACTTGAATTTCAGTACAATTATTTGGCCAGGATTTCGCTTCATAGACAAACTAAGAGGAGGTTAATAATCTTGTTTTGTTTTTATTTAAGGTTGGTTACATAATTTTTACAGGATTACCCAATGATCCATATGGTGGGGTACCTATTGTAGAAAGAACTGGCTGCATTCAATAATTATTTTCCTTTTTGTGACCTTATATGGCTCCATTTAAAAGCAGAGGAATGCACTCAGATGGGTACAATTGAAAATAAGTCTTGTTCAACTTTTTTTGTTTCCGTAATTTGCATAATAATTTTTGGATTTTAATCATAAGGATTTGAGTAGGGTTGTAGTTGATAGTTAATGAATGTTTTATTTCCTCTTCTAATTTATAAAATGTGTTTGTTTCATTTATTAGTACAAATCCTGTTCTTTTACCAAATGAATAAATTGCTGAACCATCTTTTTTTTTACTTTATTATTTAAAGATAATCTTGGTAATCTAGATTTTAGTTTATTATTAAGAATTTTACTCACATTTTCTTGAATATTTTCTGCATTTTTTATCAGCTTTTTCTACATGTAAAACAAAAGATTCAATCAGCTTTAAAATTTCTACATAAAGCAACTTTTTAAATGATGATGCAAAATATGATCCAAGATTTAGGAGATATGTTGTGAGGGTGTCAAACTGAATTTGTGTTAAGTTTAAAATTCCATATTCAATTATGTTTTTTTTTCATTTCATTCAAAAAAAAACAAATTCCATCTGTCTGTTGTAGGCCTCTATTTAAAAAATTATTCGAAAAAAGAAATCAAATAATATTTCATGTATCATTTAATTCATTTTCTTGGATAGTTTTATATATAATTATTATATATAAAATATAATCATAAATGGGTTCTTTTAAATGTCTTTTATATAATTTTATGTAATATTATGGAATGTAATATATGGTTGGAATGTAATATAATGGTTTTTTGTCATTTTATTTCATGTCTGATGATGATCTGTAAAAAAGCAAGTTGAAAAATTACCAAAAAAATATTTAGTAAGCAGCTTTTGTTTATGCTTTACACTGTTCATAAATTACTTTGGAAGTACAAAAAAAAAAATAAACTAATAGAACAAAAGTGTTTTTAAGTTGATAGAAAACATTTGACATAAAAAACAAGTGGAAATACAGTAAATGTATCAAGGATGCAAAGAGCTTTAAAACGTGCTAAAGTTAAAAAGTTTTTTTCCATAATCAAAACATATCATGTTTTGATTATGGAAATTTATTATATATATATTAATCAAAACATATCATGTTTTGAAAAATTATTATATATATATTAATCAAAACATATCATGTTTTGATTATGGCAAACAGTGTGTAATAGATTCTGTATGCAAAAGATTCATGTATTGATTATGCAAAATATTCAGTTTGTCATCAAGAATGTTATTGAAGAGATTGTCACAAAATAGTGCTTAACTAATATAATAGTATCATGTAGACATATATGAGTTTTATTTTTTTCAAATACCTTTAATGATAGTTTTTTATTTATATATATATATATATATATATATATATATATATATATATATATATATATATATATATATATATATATATAAATATTTTATTATATATATATATATTTTATTATATATATATTCATATATATATATATGTATATATATATATATATATATATATATATATATATATATATATACTATATATATATATATATATATATATATATATATATATATATATATATATATATATATATATATATATATATATATATATATATATATATACAGGCTTAGGCGTGAATAAATGAGTACAAGAGTGGAGAAAAGCTCTCTTAAAACAAACTTGGGGAGCTGTGCAAGCTGCTCCTCATTTAAATCACCGCTCTTTTTTAATTCTAATTTTTTTTTTTGCAACAACCGTGTCTTTGGATGGGAGCAAGAGCTAAAGCTCTCGCTTCCTGCCGAAGCCTGTATATATATATTCATATGTTTTTATATATATATGTATATATATATATATATATTTATATATATATATATGTATATGTATATGTATATATATATATATATATATATATATATATATATATATATATATATATATATATATATATATATATATATATATATATATACACACACACACATACACACACACTAATTTTGAAGCAAAATATGTCGCAAATAAAGTAAATAAAGCCTTGGCCTTGGCCTTGCTACTTTTCATATGCCTTGCTACATATTCATATTCATATGTTTGTATATATATATGTATATATATATATATATTTATATATATATATATGTATATGTATATATATATATATATATATATATATATATATATATATATATATATATATATATATATATATATATATATACACACACACACATACACACACACTAATTTTGAAGCAAAATATGTCGCAAATAAAGTAAATAAAGCCTTGGCCTTGGCCTTGCTACTTTTGGCCTTATTAACAACTCTTTTTTTATCTAAATAAACAAAAATAAATACATTTTAACATTGTTATTAAGTTGTAAATAATAAACATAAAATTAAATTAAAAAGTATTACCATACTTTCTTTAAACTATATTTTTAACTATGTTTATTTTAATAAATTGAAACAAAAATTGTTATATTAAATTTTATTTACAATCATAGAACTTTTTTAAAAAACATAACAAAGCAAAACAGGTAAACTTCAAGTTTTAATTTCTCTACAACACTGCCATGTTATCTGCGGACTATTACTATATTGCTCTAATATTTTTTTTTAAATAAGCATAATATTTCAAAACAGATATTTAGAAAAAACAAATTTTTATGTCTTGTTTTATAATGATGATTTGTGATTTGATGATTATGACAGTTGAAAAATAACAAATCAGAAGAATGAAGTAACTTATTATATATATTATTGTTGTAAAACTTGTCTCATAAGTAAATATTTTTAGACAATATTAATAATTTAGTTTATCTTTCTAGACAAATGAAGCTGTTTGTAAAACAACTTCTTCTGTGTCAAATTATAGTATGAGGTAGTTAAATACTCTTTCTAATGTTAAAAGTTTTTTTTTTTTTTTTTGATATTTCTATTTGTTTTTTATTTAAGTTTTATTTAATGTTTTTTATGATGTGATTTTTATTGAAGATTAATGTTTTAAGATTTTAAATGTTTTTTTGTATTTTTTAGTTCAAGAGAAGAGCTTTATAAATCTACATTTTCATCTCGATGTTTAAAAATTTGCGCATTTTGTGCATGTGATGAAAAAAATGCATGGTTTCATGATAAAATACTTCGTTTTGGACCAATCTCGAAACTAGGAAAAAATATAGCTTCATCAAGAGGTATTTTTCGTCCATATCTTGTAAATGATGATGATTCTTGCAGTCGCACTCCTTCTCCCATGGAAAGAGAAGTTTCAGTTGAACAAATTAATTTTCTGCCAATACATATTGGATACTTTTTTCGCTCAAATATAAATAGTGTCCTTGATGTGGACGATTATATTTGGGCACATAAAAAGTGTTGGGAATGGAGCCAGTCTTCCAAATTTAGAAGTACAGTTACATTGCTTGAGTCAGCTTTGAATAAGGTATCTTTGTTTCTAAAAGTTTTCCAAGCCATTTTTTTTAAAGTATGTTTTTTTCAAATGACTTTTTTGTTTGTTGAAACAAATTAACTATTTTTGGGATTTTTATTTTTGGGATATGAGTTCTAAAAATTTGAGTTTGTTAGTATCCAAAAATGGTTTTATTATTTTGCTGTTTAAAAAATTAGTTTGCTATTGGAATTTTTTGATTGTTTATTGAACATTTGCTTATTAGGTTTGCAGTTTTTGTGGCAATTATGGCGCAAGCATAAATTGTTGTGTTGATGAATGTAATAATGCATATCACTTACCATGTTCAATTGCATCAAATACCTTTCAGGTTATTTTTTTTTTTTTTATCTACAACAACTAAATTATTGAAAATTTGGTTTTATGCATTTATGAATCGAAATGTAATTTTTCTTTTAAAAAATAAAAAGAACTCTTTAATGAGAAAATTTTAAATAACCAAGTGTAAATTAAAATAAAATGACTAAAGAAAGTAATTTTGGACAACAAATTTTTTTAATTTATTTTTTATTTTTGTAAACGTTAAAAAAAAATTAATCTAATTTTAGTTGACAAAGGACATTCAAATTTTTTTTCATCTAGAACTTCAAATCTATTCTCTTATTCTGTACTGCTCATTTGCACGAAGCTAAAGATCAAGGTAATACATTACTTTTAGGATTTGTTTATTCTTTACACAATTAAAATACAATATATTTTATTGGCTAATAATTATTTACAATTAAATATACACAAATTAAAGTTAGTATATAATGAAATTTCATCATAGTGCAGTCAATAAGTGCAAACTTTATGCTGTTTTAGAGTAATGCTTGAAACTTGATGGACATAAGCTTGAAACTTGGTTGATAAGCTTTAAACATTAGTATTAAGACTTAAACCCACTTTCAAAATGAATACACATGGTTTCCATAGAATTAATTTTATTTTAATTGCTTGAAATTCATATAAAATTGAATAACTTTATAATTACACGTTAAAGGGATCCCAAACTCCCAACACATGTTGTGTTCATATTAAAGATAATGTTAAAAAAAAAGGTTTGAACCAAATTTTTTTGATTAAAAATAAATAATGAATGCATACCGTGAAAAACAAATGTTGTTGTTTTTGCCGAAGCTCGTCTTCTCCATTTTTTTCAACTACTCGGAGTCTTCAAATTATGCGTCGCAATCTACAGACTTTGGCGATTGCTTTGAAGCGCGTTTAATTCATAAAAGTTTTAGTATTTGACGTCACGGTAGACTTTTAACAAATGAAACTCTTGAAATATTTTTATTTATTTTTAGTCGAAGTTTTTTTGGTTATTTCTTTAGTTTTTTTTTTTCTACTTTTAATATTTAAAAAGATATTAAAAACCTTAAATATTTTATGCTGGTTCGTTGCTATAAATTGTTATTGCGCCATATATTTAATGTTTATAAATTATGAATATTTATCTCAAAATTTTTATCTCAAAAATTGTTTTACATTAATTACCCGTATAAAATTAAAAATATTTATCTAAGTAAAAGTATTAAACTTCATTTCTTTATTATATTGCAACTGTAAATATTGAATTATTAACTTGAACTAAATCTACTTTTTATTTAGAACAACTAAGCAATAAATATAAAATGCCTCTAAAATTATGCGAGATTGTGTTGTTTATTTGATAACTGTAGTTGGTAATGTTGTTTATGTTGATTATTTTCATAAATATCAAAATAGTTCCAGATTAATCTGTTCGTTGCTTTGCTCATTGTTGATTTATTTCTAATTTAATTTTATCTCAAACCATAATTATATGTTAAAAAAGAAAAGTTTTTATTTCATCGGGCGCTCTTTTTATAAAAGAGTAGAACAATAGAAACTTTGAATGAATAAGAGTTGTATAGAATATATATATTTTTTGCGTCACTCGTTCCTTTTTTAGATGAGAGAAATAAAAGTTTAATAGTAAATTTTCTTTGAATAAATGAGAATTGGAAGAGAAAATTGCTTGAAAATTTGTATTTATTAATTGTGTTTTTAAAATTTTTTAATTTTCATGTTAAGAGACAAATGTTACGACACATGTTCATGTTACGACAAATGTTATGACAAATGTTCATGTTGCGACACAAATTTGGAAATACCAAATATGTTTTTTAATGCGCGTTATGACATTTTAACAATATAAATTACCATCTATCTTGAATTATCGCCTTTTAATTAGTGTTAATTATTGCGTTATTTAATAATAATTTGTCCGTATTTTTGTTAAATATTAGTTGTATAAAACGGGCGAAAATATACAAACTTCATGTTTTTTATTTGATGGTTATAAAATATTGAACAGTAAACTTATAATCAAAATTTATAATGCCGACTTAAGTTGCAATTAATTGTACTTTTAATGCAAAATCAGGATCTCACATCCTTTAACGAATTTTCATATCTGATACTACTGTCAACTGTATTGTTTAGTGTATTCTTGTACTTTTTTTTCATAATCTTAACAGGTTCTAATTGGTATGGAGTTGCTGACATTTTAAAAATTTCATTATCAAAAATCAAATGTAAAATAAAATGGTATTTCCTTTTTATCCGTATCCAATTCAGCAAATTTAACAATTTAAATTAAATCAGCGTGATCGAAAAAATTTTATAATAAGAAAAGTTAACAATTCATTAAATATCTCTAATTAATACTGTCAGTTTATGAAAGTAATTGTTAATAAATACTTTTTTTCAACGGGAAAACAAAAAATTGTCATAGCATAAAAATAACCAGAGAAGTTAGAAAATAGTTCCCATTGTTTAAATAAAAATAATTATGAATCAGAATATATAATACTGCGCTCTCTTGCGCAAAATACAGAGACCGTATATAAAACGTTCTATATAATGCAAAATACTTGTATGAAAATCGTAAGATTGGTAAGTAAAGCTTTAATATTTGTTTTAATTTAAATAATTAAAGAAATATAAGTAAGATATATAAATCTAAAAATTATTAAGATATCTGTAAAAAATAAGTTGCTCCTATAAAATAAAAATAATTTATTGTTTTTACTTTTTACAAAATTTTTTTTGCGATGTTTGGAAAAACAATACAAATAAATTTGTTTTGCTGTATGTTAAAAAAATACTACAGTAGAAAAACGCATCTTAGTTTAGTTACACTTTTCTTTTGTTAAAAGTCTACCGTGACGTCAAATACTAAAACTTTTATGAATTAAATGCGCTTCAAAGGAATTGCCAAAGTCTGTAGATTGCAACGCATAATTTGAAGACTCCGAGTATTTGAAAAAAATAGAGAAGACGAGCTTCGGCAAAAACAACAACATTTGTTTTTCACGGTATGCATTCATTATTTATTTTAATCAAAAAAATTTGGTTCAAACCTTTTTTTTTAACATTATCTTTAATATGAACACAACATGTGTTGGGAGTTTGGGATCCCTTTAAAGATATTTTCTTTTGGGGGTTTGTTGCAGATAGTGTGTATGTTTTTTATCACTTTTATTTGTAACAAAGTTATTTTGTACACATTCAAAATTCAGAATATGGCGTGACAGTTGTTTCAAAAACTTGGAAGAAATAAAAGCAAATTATTTTTTTCTACAATTTATTTTCTATGATTATTTATTTTAATTTATAATTAAAATGAGTTTTACATGAAATTTTATATATCATATAGTTTAAAGTAGAAAAATATAGCGAGTAAAATGGCAAAAAGGCATTCAGTGCAGATTTATTTGGATTTTTATCAATTGACTGGAATTTGTGTGATTATATTGTCAAAGGACAACCACAGAGTTTAATTTGCCCAGGAAATGTTAAAAAAACCATGATTCTAGAGCTTCATCTGAAAAAGTTGTCAAAAATGGAAAAATTTAAAAGGCGGGGCACCAATTACAATATTTATTGATAATATAAATACAAATATTTTAATGGATAATTTTATTCAGCATGATGCAAAGTTTTATTATTCAGTGTAATAATAAATTTAGCAATATCAAATCAGAAAGAGCTAAAAAAACATGTACTAATTAAGTAAATAGAGTACAAGAAGGAAGATGATGGTGTTAAACAAAATTTTTGTTCAATTAATTAGCTACCAAGCAAGAGAGCTTCTTTAAGGACAACTTGTAAAACCAATTTGAAGTGTTTTTTCTGTGAAAGTTCTTGGTGCACTTCATCAAGTTACAACAATTGAATTAGAAAAACATGTAAGAATGTGCGTCACTATTCTTGAAGGTAGTACTTTGTTAAATAAGCTTAGTGCTGATAGTCCAAGATGCTAAATATCACTTTGAACTATACTAAAAAGGTTAAGATATTTAGACATAGCAGACAATTGATATTTAGCAAGATGCTAAATATCAATTGTCTGCTATGTCTCTATAGAAAATCTAATACAAAAGAGTCTGATAAAATGTCATATAATAATTCTGACAAACAAATCGGTGCCCAGGTTCTTGTTGAACTGAAATAGTATATGATACAAGAAATAAAGGATAAAGATAACCGTGTCTTTAAATTAGTTGAATTTGAACTATACTAAAAAGGGTCTATACCTTTTTAGTATAGCTGAATTATACTAAAAAAGGGTCTTTTGGTTGAAACACTTCTGAAAGGATCCATACAACAATATTAGAGGTTGTTGATGTAGAAAATTTAAGGGAGTATAGTGATACGAGTTTTTCCTACTTAACATTTGACGAAAATGATGGAAATGTTTTGAAGAAATGTAATAAAAATAATTATGAAGACGAATTTTCTGAAGCAGCTAAAATCTTGCAGAGAATTTGTTCCTGTTTCTTTTAAGTCATTTATTGACACAATTTTATCAGGAAATACAAGACAGTCCAAGTATCAAGTGTCAAACCAAAATATCAACAAATCCAATCTTGAGCCTTTTAAACATGAAGAAGCAAACACTCATATATTTCTTCACACATTGTGCTATAAAATAGTATATAATAGAATCAAAAAAGCCATATTCAGAGCTGCAGAGCTGTACTAATGTTGTTGTCATTGGTTAAAACTTATTTTTTATACTTTTGGTTATCTTTAAAGCCAGATAATATTTCAGGTCATGAAAATAAAAGTAATCAAAATCACATACGTTTTTCTGATTTTAGGTTTTTTTCTTAAGCTACAATTAGAAGAATTATAGATATGGTTCAGCACTGGCAAAAACTAATGCTTCATTTCACTGCACAATCTTATAAAATGTCTCAGTCTAAAACAGCAACATGTTTACTTTTTTTTCATAGTTGTGATCAAGTTTCATTTTTAGTTTTCTTGGAAAACTTTCCTGGAAAGTTCCCTCAAAGGATGATATCATCATTTAATTTTATTTTCCACTTAATTAAAATATTTGTTGTGCTACTATATGGCCATACAAGTTCTTTCAGTGTAAATGAATGAAGAAAAGACCTATTTTCAAAGTATGGATGTTAACCAGATGCCATACCCCCTACACAAGATGCTTTGCAATTGCATATCTCTAGAGTTGTTTACCAGACTTGTATTGCTGGGTTACAGTCATTATATAAAAAACCATCATTGCCTGATCCATGTGAGTAGGGTTGTATAATGGCAATATTTAAAATATTTGTTCAATTATTCTGAAATGTGCAGTGTACTTATACAATGTGGCTTCAAAATAGAAAAAGATTGTAGAGGTTTTTATAAATGTACAAAAGCATTACTTCCATGTACAACACTTTGCAAATGTGGTGGTGATTGTAAGCATTGAATTCATCATTTACCAAAAGTTTTAAATAACAGGTTTTTTAAAGTTAATGCAAAATTTTAACTATTTAATAAACATTTAATAAACATTAATTGTTTGAATATTTTATTACTCAATCCGGAAACCTTTTTTGAAATTTTTATTTAAGGTTAAACTAAAAAAAAAATGTTTATACGAACATGATTCAGTTACCATAGTGGAGCCATTTCGGAGTCTAAAAATGAGTGTTTCAATATTATCAATGCGTAGGCCAAGTTTCATGCTTTTACCAAAAACAGCACAAAAGTATAAATTTGTCACCAATTAACCACACACACACACACACACACACGCACATACACACACACACACACACATACATACATATATATATATATTAGGGTGGATCGATTTTCATAGCAAAAAAAAAAAGTTTAAAAATCAATATTCCTGAGACACGAATCGATGTCTATTAATTATAAGATGAAAGTAAAAAAATATTTTTTGATTTTGATGAGATCTTAAGGTTCCTCTTTGGATTCTAAATCCTTGACGGATCCTAATATTTTTGAATTTTTTTTTTTTTTATTAAAAAACCCCCGTTTTGATGAAGACGGGGGTTTTTTAATAAAAAAAAACGACATTATTTTTTCTTTAGTTTTGAATTAAAACAAATATTATATTCAAAATAAGCGTGCTATTCTGCTTCTTTTGAGTACCAGGTTGATATAGTTTAGAAGAAAAAAATTTCAACAATATTTAGATCCGTCATAAATTTAGAATCCAAAGAGGAACCTCTAAAACTCATTTAAATTAAAAAAAAAAAGTAAAGTTCTTTTTTCACTAAAAGACATCGATTCGCAGCTCAGATAAATCAAATTTCAAAAATTTTAAAAATCGATCCACTGGAATATATATTATATATATACCCTATATATATACATATATACACCCTATATATATACATATATATATATATTTTTATATATATATATATATATATATATATATATATATATATATATATATATATATATATATATATATATATATATATGTACATATCTTATACTGCAGAGTTAGGTGAGCAGTGTGACATCGTACTGAAATAGCCTGCTGCCTGGGGCTTCAGTACTACATCAACTGACAAAAGCCCTGACTTTTGATTTTGATGAGATCTTTAGGTTCCTCTTTGGATTCTAAATCCTTGACGGATCCTAATATTTTTGAATTTTTTTTTTTTTCTAAACTATATCAACCTTGGACTCAAAAAAAGCAGAAAAAAATGCTTGTTTTATCAATAATAATTTTATTAAAAAAAAATTTTTAGTAAAATAAATATTTGCAAAAATATACCTTCAAACCCCCGTTTTGATGAAGACGGGGGTTTTTTAATAAATAAAAAAAAGACATTATTTTTTCATTAGTTTTGAATTATATATATATATATATATATATATATATATATATATATATATATATATATATATATATATATATATATATATATATATATGTATATATATATATATATATATATATATATATATATATAAATATATATATATATATATATATATATATATATATATATATATATATAATTATATCTTATATATATAATACTTCTAACTATTTAGCTATTTGCTTCAAATGTGGTTCTAATGAGAATGTGGAAAACCTTGTTTCGTGTAACATTTGTTATCAAAACTTTCATGCAAATTGTTTAAAACCAAACAGCAATCTTGGTATTAAACAAAAGTTAACCTATCATTGTGACACTTGTCGACAGTGTTTTGTCTGCAGGTATTGATGTTATTTGTATTTCAATTAATATTTACTTCTCAATTTTTATAACAAAGATCATACATGTAAAATTTTATTTAATATCTGTTATTATAAATAGTTGACAATGTTTCGATATTAAAGATTTTATAGATTTTGGTACTTTTTATTTAATTTGCTTTTGATTGTTTAAAAAATGTTTAAAAATGTGTTTAAATGTTTAAGCAAAAATGAAGTATAAAAATGTTTCATTTTTTGTTATACATTGCATGTTACATTTTTTGTTATACATTGCATGTTACATTTTTTGTTAGACATTGCATGTTACATTTTTTGTTAGACATTGCATGTTACATTTTTTGTTATACATTGCATGTTGAAAAAACTCAAAAATTCAGTTTTTTCAACATGCTACGAATCTAACTATGTTAATATGAATAAAAAAATTGCTCATCATCTTTATTTTATTGCAAAATTATTGATATTCAAAAATATTTTGCTGGATAATTAGTTTTTCTGTTTTTCTCAAAACAATAATAATGTGACTTCTGTGTATCTTTCTGCGGGAATTGCGTACCACCCTTTTTGAATAGCATCCCATAACTGCTGTACATTACTTGGGTTACCAGAAGAAACTACTTTCTTAATGCCTTCCTATTAATTTTCAATGGGGTTAAGGTTGGGTAATTGAGCAGGTCACTCCATAATCTCAACCCGATTGACCTAAACCACTCATTTGCCTTGCAATTAGTGTGTTTCAAGTGATTGTCTTGTTGGATGACACATTTTAGCTGTGTATCTTCATTAGCATTGCATTATTGAGGATACCCAAAAATATATGTTGGTCTTAGATACAATTTATCTTATGATTAGGTCATACACCATTAAACATTATACATATAATATATGTATGAGAAGTAGCCCATACCATGTTTTTGAATCTGCCATGTTTTACAGAATTACCTGTACATTTTTGCCGGAAATCTGTATTAGCTGGACGTGTCTTGAACTTGTACCTCCATAAAGATTTTTGATTCGCTATCTAAAAAAAATTGTGTCTCTTTATGATAAGCCACTTCAGATGTTGATTGGTGAACTGCAAAATGTTTAGCAATATGTTTTTTGTCAACAAAGGAAACTTTTGTGGTCTGCATGCATTTAAACTGTTGTCTATTAAACACCTACATATAGTAGTGTCACTTATCTTAAATTTAAGATCACCTTTGATAAAGTTGGTTTATAAAATGATTTGCTTTTAACAAATCTAACAATTCTTTGATTTTACTTTTTCCACCTTGTTTTTCAATTTTTGCTTTATAATACTTTAATCATCTTTGCTGAACATCCGAGAATTTTTTGTATATATGAGTAAAATTTACTCTTTCTATGATGCTTCAAAATAATTTTGCATTTGGCTGGTGTACAATGAGGTCCCTGGGCTACTTTAAAAATTTTAAAAAACATATTTACAATTGAGCATTCACAAATAGATAAAGAATATAATATAATTGAAGTAATACTTATATTTCCTACGAAATATAAGTATTACTTTAAATAGTTTAAGACTAAATTAATTGTTTAAATATATATACTGTGCCTTTAGAAGATGTAAAATGGTGTTATTATCTTTCTAAAGAACAATCAAAAAACTATAAATATCATAAATAAAAGTTCTGTACAAAGAATTATGTTGTTCTCTTTGTAAAATAAACATCCAAATATATATATAAATAAACATATATAGTATAAATGCATGTTTAGGTAATATTTTTCGAATTGAAAAAGCCTGATGCTAGGGGCTTCAGTACATACATCACCTATCTTATAGCCTGCTGTTGCAAAGGAGTGTTGCTACATCAACTGAGGGTTTGGCTTGGGGCAATATATATATATATATATATATATATATATATTTATATATATATATATATATATATATATACACACACAAATAGTATTGCGTACTATGCTAAGCAATCTGACGTCATACTGAAATAGCCTGCTGCTGGGGGCTTCAGTACATACATCGACTGACAAATAGCCTGACTCGCAGTGGAGTGCTGCTACATCGACTGAGGGTTTGTGATGGGGAAGTAATCGTTTTATTCATCATTCTTCGTTTTTTCTTCTTCTTTTTCGAAAAAAAAACGGTATAGCCTAAGGTAAGCAGAAAAAGTGAGCAAATGCTTATCAAAACACGCTTTAGTAAGTGTATATATATATATATATATATATATATATATATATATATATATATATATATATATATATATATATATATATATATATATATATATATATATATATATATATATATATATATATATAGAACTTGGGTTACAATGACAAGAAATTAAGGTACTCAATGTCAGAGTAAACACATTTCAAACAGTGTCTGTTGAAATTCAGTTACAAAGCAGTGATGATATATGGAAAAATATACCATTAGTATTTGACAGATTTATGAGTAACATGCGAGTGGTGGACTGGAATAAATATAAATACCATTAGAGTCACTTAAGAACTATATCATTTCCACATTAGGACAACAACTGCAGATATTCTTATTGAACTAGACAAGCAAAACTTTGCTCTTTGAAAGCATAAGTTAAAGGGTGCACTGGAAATCCAATAACTTGTGCCACTGGGTTGAGCATGGATTGGGGCACATTAACATTCAAAAAATTATTATAGTTGGCACACAAGAACGTAAAACACAAACATTTCTGTAGTTGAAAAAATAATGAAGTACTTAAAATAATTTGAACAATTGTAAATATTCATCCATTATCAGAAATGCAAATTAGGAACTGTTTATGATAAAACAGTCCTAAATTAACATAAAACCTGATTTCATCCAACAAGAAGAATTCCAATGACCAACTAATGAATCCAAAAAAAATGATAACAAAATAACATTGGAAGTAAAGAACAGTTATGCTTTAATGGTTTATTATTACTTAATAGTAAAATACCAATTGTAGAAAGTTAATACAAGTTTGGCCTGGGTATTAAGATTTCAAAACAACTTTAATGTAAAAATTCCATCATCAGTAACACAACATCAGAAATTAATGAGTTAATTATAAATACAAAAAAAAGTGAAAAAGTAAAATGCTGTAAATAAAAAATATGACAGTCAATTAAAATGTGCTGAGTTTCTCTCATTTTATTCAAGAAATCCCATTATTGAAAATAGTTGGGTTTCTTGAAATGATATTGAATAATAATTTTTTGCAAAAACTACAAGTTTTTGCAAAATGCCAAAGAGAAAAAAAAAAGAGGCAACCAGCCATGTTAGTATTAAATGTCATTTTTTTAAAATTCTATTAATCTAATCATACTCTAAATCTGCATTTAATTTACATAAAATTTATTTTTACTTATATTATTCGTGTTTAATAAGACAGTTATGTGAAGTTTTTTTTTTTTAATTAAAAAGCTTGTATTTTAAAAACAAAATTTTTTTTTTTCCTAATGAGAATAGTTAATTTAAGTACATTTTATTTTTTATATTAAGATAATTTAATACATTTAACTTTATGTTGTTATTATTATTCAGGGATTAGAACCCTATCTAAATTTAGGGTTCTAGAACCCCGGCGTTCTGGAATCCTTTTGATAAGGATACTAGAGAATAGTTCTCGAACCCTTATTCCAAAACAGGATTTAGAAACTTAAACTGGGGTTCTGAAAAAAAGGGTCCTTAAATTCTCATCTAAAAAAAGGTTCAGTACCACAATGGGTTCCAGAACACTTACTAATTGGGGTCCCAAATTTTAATTATAGCCAGGGACTCCAGTTCCCCTTTTTCACCCAAAGTGGTTCAAATAAGTAACGAATATATAAATGTATTGTTTTTTTAAAATCAATGCATAAAGTATTTTAAATATTTTATTTTGTATTCATTATTGATAGGTGTCTGCAGAACATGATACGTTATGTTAAGGGAAAAAAAACTTTTTTTTATAAATATAGAACGAATAATTTATAATTTATATTTTTTTTTAGTACTTAAGCCTCTTTTTAGGTTTAAAAAGAGGGTTTAGAACCCCTGGGTTTTGGAAACCTGCAGGGTTTTAGAACCAAATCAGGGTTCTGAATAAGGTATATCATTCACCCTTACATTTAAAAAGGTTTTGAAATGCCTTCATGTTATACAGTTTTGGAAAAAAGTTTAAGACCACCACGTATAAATGCTATACTTTGGTGCCTAAAATAAAATTGAGCGTGTATAAGTTTTTATTTGGCAACCATAGCTAGTTAACACAATTTCCCATTTATTTTTAAATAATCAAAAAATAATTTCCCAATTATTTTTTGCACTGTACTAATTTTTTCATTAAATTTTCAGTTTTTTGCAAGTGGTCTTTTTTTCCAAGACTGTAGAATCCCTCAAATTCGAAGTTCTAAGTGATTCTGAGTGTATAATTCTCTTAGGGCTTCTAATCCCTAATTATTATTATTATTATTTTTGGTTTTGATGTAAATAGATAACCATGTTTTTGTCTATTTTTATAAGTAATATTGAAAATCTTCAAAACATTAGGGTTGTTGGTTTGTTAACAATTATTTGCTATTAACTTGTAATAGAGACCTGAAATGTTAACTAAAAAGATGGATAACTATGAGTGTTTTCAAACTTTAATTTAAAAAATATATACTTTTAAATAAAAATGTTAAACAAAAAAATCACTTAAACCAATTTTGTAAAAAATATCAACAAACGCATTTTCCACAAAATTTTTCCAGGTTTAGCAAATATTTTTAGAATTAAGTATTTTTACAGACAGTATATAAGATATATAATAGTTAACAACTTCTAAATGATGTGAAAAAAAAATTATATCAGTGAATAATATTTTTCTAAATAAAGTTTTATATTTATAGAAATCAACTGCGAAATTCAATAAGTATCGAGTGCCGTTTCTGCGGAAGAAATTTTCACACAAGTTGTGTTGAACCTTTAAACTCAGAACGCGAACACATTAACTGGCAATGCAGGGTAAGTTTTCAATACTAGTAAAAAATTTTCAGGGTATTTCCAATACTAGTAGTAAACTGGGAGGGTGTTTGCAATACTATGAATAACCTGGTAGGGTGTTTCCAATACTAATAATAAACTGGAAGGATGTTTGGAATTAAAGTTAGAAGAAAATTGTGATGGTATAATAAGTTAACAAGTTACTAAAAAATCGATAATGTAGACCAATTCTTACAACTTTAAAATTGGATTTGATTAATTACTTTGATGCTTCAGATTTATGCCTTATTACATTTAAGATATTTATTATTATTGCAAATTTAGTACTGCTATACAGAATCTCTGGGTAGAGTGAGGAGGAAACCTGTCTCTCATCATTCTTTTGAGTCTCCTTACAGTCGTCCTATCCATAGCCCATTGTCACATCACTCAGCGGAAGCAAGTGTTTCATACATTAAAGATTTAGAGCTTAGTAAAGGACGTTGTACAACATGTGGTGAAGCCTGTATCGATAAAATTAAAGCCCAATATATAATTCAATGCAAAGCTTGTGACGAGTGAGAATTTTTTCAATTCAATTGTTCAATGGACGTTTTATTGATAGTTTTACCTTCAGTAAATAATAAAAATTCAGTAAGAAAAATTTTTTTTTTTCATAGATACACTCACGCAATTTGTGATCGTGTACCAGTTGAGCTAATTGAAGCTTTAGAAGAAAAAAACTTATTTATATGCAGAAGATGCAGGCGAACAAAAATTCAAAAACGAGGTTCCAAATTTAATGTAAGAACAATATTACACTGAAAATTATTTTGTTTCTTTTTTGACAAAAAATAATCAAAAAATTCTTAACATTATTTATGAATGTATTAAGATGATTCAAACTCAAATGTGGAGTAACGAAGTGCCTAAACCGTGGTCAAACTTACGAAGCATTACAAATCAAAGTTTAAAAGAGGACTCTAAAAAACGTTTAGAAGAAACTGCTTCAACAATTGAAAGATTAATTGAAGAAGATACGCCTACCATCGGTACTCTATTGGTTACTGAACCGCATCTTTGGTCGCGTTTTCGAATTGTATATTCGTTTGAATACAATAATAAAGTATAATATATTTTTGTTATTTAATGAAATTAGAAATTTTAAAGATTTCACGCGAAATATTTTGTAATTATAAAAGAATGTGAATAAATAAATACGCAAAAATGTTTTATTATTTAACTATGTCGTATCGTTTAATCGTGTCGCATCTCTTTTTAATCATGATGTATCTCGGTTTTGTTTATTTTTTTTTTTTAATTTGCTTTTAATTTTGTTTTATATTCAACTTTAACAATTTAATAAAATAGTGTTTATCATGTTTGACAGGTCTGTTTGCTACTGTAAGGCTTGAGTGTTAAAGGATGTTCGACTTTTTTTTCACCACTTGACCAGTAGACAAAATGAACATTTCAAACAATTATTTTCAAAAATACCCTTTATTTCTTTTCTTCTAAAAGTAAAATGAAAATTGTTGATGTGATAAATAGAGCATAAACTTTATATTCAAGTTCGAAAATAAAAAATTTGATTTAAAATAATATAGAAAAAATTTTATCCAAGTAAATCTAATAGTATTTGATCACAACACTGCGGAATAACTAGGGATTGTAATCCTGGAGGTCTTTCTCAATCCCGAGATTGAAAAACATCATCTACATGGTGTTAAGTAAAATAAAAACAATACATTATACAGAAACATTAATCAAAAATATATTTTTTAAATGAAAGCAATTTACATTATATTGTTACATGCATGAGAGAAAAGCATGTTAATCAATATTAAGAGGTTATGTTAGAAAAAAGGAAATATATTATGTTTTATGTTCTTTGAAATGCGACTTAAGGAAGCACAATGCGTCCAAAGCATCATCGTCCAAACGGTTACGAATTTTTGTATTAAACACTTCAACGGAAGGAAATCCCCGGTCAGCTTTAACACTTGTTGGTTTCAAGATCATTAGAAATGAATGAGTTCTTTCTAAATAATTGCCACGTGTACCACCCTATTCAAGTAACACAATTTTTTTTTGAATTTTTGATAACAAAGTCTCATGCCTAACTAGTTGCATTGGTTATTGTTCTTCTTCAATATACAATCAAGTTCCCTTTTAATACTTTCGGATTACTTATAAACTCAGGTACCATTTTAGTTTCTTCAATCAAATTCAGCATATGAAAATTAGAAGCTTCCAGAAATTCTACCAAAAGTTTTCGACATTTAAATGAAGAAGGCGCTGAAATTATTCCATCATTGACTTCGACCGTTACGCAGGTGTTGCAGTAGTCTACTCATATCAGTTCGGCGTTCATGCATACGAACCATTAATGCTGCACACATTTCTTCACTTATTTTATTGCCAGCATCTTTTAATTTTGTAAACATAAATTAATAGCTATGGGTGTAAATAGGTTAGAATCTTGGCGACAAAATGCTTCAACCATTACTTTAATAGGAGCTTAAGTTGAAATAATCTCTGGTAATATTGTTCATCATGTGACAAAGCTATAGAACCATCTTGGACTAAATAAATATTAACTAATGAACTTTGTATGCAGCTTTTTACTTGTAAATTAGTTTAGGCATTAACAGATGGCTGCTCCACCATCTCTTGCAGTCTGTTTTTAAATGCGGTTGTCTTTCAAACTAAGCCTTAATATATTTTTGTAAGATGTCATTCTTGGTAGGTGATCGTCTAAATATCAATGTCAATTTGCGTATTTTTTAATGACTGGTCCATAATAAAGTTTATTTAGTTCAATTTTAGGTCTTACATTTTTATGATGGCAGTTCAGTAAATCCTTCTCAATTTCCTCATTCTCAAATGAATCATTTTCGTTATTTGGTTGGTTAAAATTAATTTTAGTAGAAAATATTTCCAAACAGCAGAGTTACTTTTAATTAAAAAATCCAAATACGTCAAACCTTTTCGATAACTTTTTTTATTGTACAACTGAAAATACAATTATTTAATGCAATTTTATATTACTTTAAAATTATTTAATTGAGTTAAAATTATAAATTGTTGTTATTTTTATATTTATTTTCATTATGCTTTGTTTTGTTCAATCTTATAGGGAATCCCGGGATTGATATTAGACAATCCCGGGATCCTGAGATTGCAATTGCTAGGGCTAATACATTTATTTTGAAAATTTATTAGTACTTTCCTCAATATTATTATTTTTGTTGTCGCTTATATGGTCGGAACGACTATATAAGTAACGACGTTGAATTTAAAGTTTAGTCGCAAACAATACGCGCTTTTATTCTTTAGCTTATAACAATTTGCTATTATATATTATATATAAATAATTGCTATTATATATTATATATATAATTATATATTATATATAAATAAATCTCGTCGCTGACGAGATATAAAGTATTAAAGAGTTTTGGATATTAAATGCTTTGACATCAAACATCAAAATCGGCATTAAAAAAAAACAAAAAACAAAGATGAAACTCTTTTTCAATACATCTACCAATTACGAAGAAGAAGCTCCGCAAGTTCGTTATAATTCTTTTAAAGTAAGATTTTTTTTCTGTTTATCATAAACAAATGCAGCAATACTTTTTCTTAACATCTTCGTATCAATGAGCATTGCTTTTGATCAATATTATCTGCAATTTAAGAAGGATCAAATAATTTAGGAAAACATATAGGCATACGTATGTATTTCTCAACAAATTAGAAATGACATTTTGAATTTGTTCAGAAATGGTATAAAAAAAGTAGATCACTTTAATGATTTTATATTAAATGATTCATTAACACAGTTGCAATGCTGATAAAATACAAATAAAAAAACGAAGCAAACACTATATATTATGCGTTTAAGTATTTAAATAAGTAATATGAGTTTTTAGAAAAAAAATTTAACATAAAACAATCTGTTTCCAATATGACAGTATTGCATGCATAAACCCATGGGCATAAAATTTCTAAGCGATTAATATTTTACAAGTAATGTTAATTAAAAATATAACTAAATATATTGCTAAGGAGAGAAAGAAAAAAATCATTTGGCAATTGTGGGCGCTAATACTGAGAAATAAGCAATGTTATTTTTGAGAAGGTTTAAAATTAATAATAGAAATTTATAATCGGTTTTTTGTGATGGGATAAAAGAAACTATCTATCGCTTGATTATGTTGAAACAAATTTATTGATTTGATACAATTTAAAAATTAAATACTAGAAACTCGGGCATTAGCAACAGAAAATAAAACGCTTTTTAAAGCAGCAAGAACCAATACAAAATACAACATTGAAAATAAATACATTTGTTCAACCCATTAAATTGATTTTTCCAAAGTAATATTATAAATATCTTCTTTGTTTGTTATTTGTATGTTTTTGTATGTTAGCTATTTATTTAAAATTTGTTTCAAAATTACGATAACATAATACTTATTTCAAAATGTTAGAGCATCTGTTCTACTAGTTTGTTTTACTTTTCTTTTTTAACCTACTTAATAAACTTTTTAACATTATAAGGCGTCTCGCGAGTTTGTCTTGCAAAGTTGGTAACACTACTCTAATTAAATATTATCATTATATTTTATATTAATATCTTAAGTAATTATGAAAGTAGTTAAAAGTACAGTTATTTAATTTATCTGAAGATAAATAATGATAGACAATAAATTTAAATATAAATCTTCATTTTTAAAACGGAAAGCTTGGATTTATTTTCATTTTTAAAAGTGGTCTGAGGTTCGATGCCTTCTCTGGACGTATAAGCTATGTTATAAGACCTTTTTTTTGAGCATTTTATTAAAATCGAAAAAAATATGTAAAACTTAAAATCAAAATCCATAAAAATTTAAGGACGTTACTTGTTTTGCGTGGTGATAAATATTTTGATTTGATTTAAAAATACCGATAGCAACTGATTTAAACACATAATTTTAATCTTGTTCGAAAAATTTAAGATTAATTTTTAACGAATTCTTAATTTTTTGGTGCCGTCATCAAATTTTGTAGACTCGACAAAACTCAAGCATGAGCTTTTTAAGGAAAAGATATTACATATTTGTGATAATTGTGTATGTTTTTCTTTGTATTCTCAGTGTATATTTTAAAAGAATTACTATAGAATTAATTTCTTCTATATTATCGTTAAATATGTTTAATCTTCAAAAATATCCTCATAATCTGTGTGTCAAAAATTCTAAATTTGTTGATTTGCTTAGTGGGAATCCTTAATCTTGGTTTAATGCATATACATTTGGTTTATGACGAAAATATTTTTTGAAAAATTTTGTATCTCTTGTGGTCGCAATTTTAAAATTATTTAAAAATTCCTGCACCAAGACACCCAATGGCATCGTGGATATCTTATTTTGCCAAAACTATATTTTTCCTAAATTATATCATGCTGGACCTCAAAATAAGTGTAATTTTATAGAGATTTCATAAACGATCTCAAATGTAACTTTTTTAAAGAAAGTAAAGAAGCTTTGATTGTGAACTTATATATATATATATATATATATATATATATATATATATATATATATATATATATATATATATATACAGCTGTGAGCATGAAAATAGCAGTACCAAAAAATTATTCGTTTTTTCAATATTACTCTGTTTCTGTTAATACAGAAGGGCTAATTTTTTATGTGTGTATGTACTAGAATGAGATAAATAAATTGAGCAAATGAGAATTCATAACATTGTAGAATATCTTTATTTTTAATAAAAATATTGTAATTGACAAAATGCATTAAAATAGCAGTGGTTGTATTAATTTTAAAGTTAGTTAACAAAACTTGAAGAGATTTTAGTATTTTTCGTTGAAAAAGTAAGTACTACTTCAATTATAACATATTCTTTATTTATTTGAGTATGCGTAATGGTAAAATTGTTTTCTAAACCTTTCAAAGTGGGCCGAGGGCATCATTGTACACCAGCAGAACGCAACATTATTTTGAAACACTATAGAGAGGGTAAATCTTACTCATATATACAAAATATTCTCGGATGTTCAGCAAAGATGATTTCAAATGCCATAAATTATATAGCAAAAGTTGAAAAACGAGGGGGGAAACGTAAGACTACCGCGCAAGAAGACCGAAGAATTGTTAGATTTGTTAAAAGCAAACCATTTTCATCGGCCAAGTAAGTCAAAGATGATCTTGACTTACAGGTGAGTGAAAAAAC